TAACAGCCTTACGTAAGTTACGTATAGCAGCCTTACGTAGTTTACGTATAACAGCCTTACGTAGTTTACGTGTGGCAGCTTTACGTAAGTTACGTATAGCAGCTTTACGTAAGTTATCTGCGGCAGAATTGATAGCGGTAGCTGAATTAAGCTTAGCTGTAAGACATATTTAATTCGGGCCGACCCTTTTCGAAATCTAAAATTATATGCCGACATTTCTCTTAGCATTGCTCAGAAATCTTGCTAGATCCGTATAAAATAGTCTCACGTGATTAAATGACTAATCATCACTACAACCCCTAGAATTTATCTTAAGTCACCGTTAATGACAATTAAAGTCGAAAATATTTTTTCGAAAAAAAAATTTTAATTAAGAAAAAAAGGTCACGTGATTGTGCTAGCGCCTCGGCGTGACTTTAAATAGTATTAAAAGCGTCGCCCCGATACAAAGCGATTTTTTTAAAATTTTTTACGCGTAAAACAAAATCATCTCGGGAAGGGCGAACCTGCGTTCGCCCTTCCCGAGGTGCGTGTACTGTTAGGCTATCACAGTCACCGTTGATAACAACTAATAGACACCATCTACCCCGTGTGCTTACTTACCTTATAACGGGCAGACCTATTATTATCTGCTCGATGGTTCAGAAAATTTGACTTCTTATACGATGATATCTGGCGCGGACCAAACTGGCTCTTAGAGTACCAAAAGGAATTCCGGATCCCGATCATCTCCACACCCGACATATTGATCATATTTTCCAGCCCTTTTATCTTGGTTGACCTTCCGGCAGTACAATACATTGGACAGCACCCTATCATCCGGTTAGCATATGCATAAGCTCCCCCTCTTCACCTTCCCAGCCTTGTAACTGTAAATCGGATAGTTACTCACATGAACCATGCAAACACTAAAAGACCCAACACAACCGTATGCCCCTTGTGGAACTGCGGCTTGTCTTTGTTCGGATAGATAAAAGTGGCCACGAAGCCTCCACTGTTGGCAATCATCAGCTGCAGCGCCGTCGTCGTCGCACGCTTATAATGACCCGCGCTGTTGTTCGAGTTCCACACCAGCACGCATGGTACCGAGGCGTACAATCCCGTAGCCATCAAGAACGTCATCCCATATTTCACTTTCGGATAAGCAATGGAGATGTTAGCGATGACTGCGTAGCCAATAATAGCGGGGATGAGCACGAAGAGCATAATTGTACCACGCAGTTTGAGACGGTCGGAGAGTAGGGCGACCGCGACGGTGACGACGGAGGCGACGGCATATGGGATGACGGACCACAGCTGGGCTTCGTTGGCGGTGTAGCCAAGCTCGACGATGATGGTGGGCAAAAAGAGACCGAAGGAGTAGAGGCCAGAAAGGACGCCGAAGTAGGCCAGTGCGCTCAGCCCTAGGGAGAAGATATTGTTAGCAAGCAAGCAGGTTGGCGGGTTTAAATACATTTGCTGATAAAATATATTAAGCGAGAATCCCAAAAGATCGACGCTGAAACGAAGCATGCTTGGAAGTAATCCAGACAGAGGGCTGGTATAGATTTCCCGTACTTACAAGTGGAGACGTTGAAGACTCCTCTTCGGACTTCGGACCATTCAAACTGCTCATGGCGATGCTCGCTGCTCGGCTGGTTAGCGATTGTATAACCCTAAAGAAATATATCGACGAACTTTCCATCCCCAAGCAATCGAGAAGGCCGATCCATGTGTAATCTTGAACTGGCGAACTCTTGTTCCTTCTCGCTAAGAAAACGCGCTGTTTCGACATTATTCGGAAGGAGAAAGTAGGCCCCGAAACCCACGATGGCGGTCTACTCGCCAGGTCGTCAGTCAGCTCTTGTCTTCAGGTGAAATGAGATTGTTTGTATGGGGTCCGCACCATTAGTCCCTCGATGATAAAGATCCAACTCCACTTCTTCTGCTCTCCATGCTCCCCTATAGAAGTGAGACCTCGGGCGAGAAGTCCTGTGGTCATTCATTGTCAATATTATTGGCGCATCCAGACGATGAGATATGGAAAACTTTACCTCCGAAGGCACCACTAAGAGAAGCAGAGGTATAGAATAGTCCCAGTCGCAAGGCCATCTCGCCTCGCGTATACATGCTGGAAAGATACAAGACCTGGCTCGGAAGAATCAGTGCCCTGTGCTCGTGACATGCGTATTATCAGTGAGAGATTTACTCACCATCCCCGGGAGAAGTCCTCCTTCACAAAAGCCCAGGATCGCTCTCACGGCCACAAACTCCTTGTAATTCCGGACGAAACCCAGACACATGGTCACGAGACCCCAGGCCATGGTCAGCGCCGGCAACCAGATCCTCGGGGAGAGCTTCTTCAGCACAAGATTGCTTGGTATTTCACTAGGGGCCGCTCGCTGTCAGTGAAGATCGGCGTGCCAGGGCATGTCTCATATACGATGATACCGGTGGCGCACAATGGATACATGTGTGTGTATATATATATATATATATATCTATAGATATATAGACATGGAGACATGGAGACATAGAGATATAGACATAGAGACATAGAGACAAAGAGATGTATAGACTTAGAGACATGTAGACAAAGAGACGTATAGACTTAGAGACATGTAGGCATATAGACATAGATATATAGACAAATAAATACATGTACATCTTCGCTCTTGGAATGGGGCTCTAACAGAGACAGGACGTCGAACCTGGCAATGTATGTGGCGTAGAACACGGCCAGCCCGGTGTCGTACTGGCGGTCAGTCATGCCGAGATCGTGCTCGAGTTTGTAGGTTTTGGCATTGCCGACGTTGGTGCGGTCGAGGAACGAGCAGAGGAAGAGGACGGCGAGGACGGGGATGATGCTGACAGGCAGACAGGACTGGATTAGCCACGAGTGCAGGGCTTGGGTTTGGTTTTTGATTCTCGTACCGGGTATCGAGCTTCAGCAGAACCCGTCTGGTCATGGCCGATGTCTCGGAATCGTACGCCGTGTTGTTGACGGGCTGCTTGGCCGTGGCTGTGGCCGTGGCCGTCGCCGTCGCCGTCGCCGTGGCCGTGGCCTCAACCCGGATCATTCCGGTCTTCTCATCGTGGCGAGGGTTACCGAGGGCGGCCATCTTCTTCTCGTGAGGCTTCAGAGTTCAATGTGTCGTCGATTGAGCAGATCGAGAGTGCGCAGATAGTGTAGTAGTAGGAGGAGGAGGAGGAGGAGGAGTAAGAGTCGAAGGAGGAGGAGTAGCAGTAGTAGCAGTAGAAGTAGTAGTAGGAGTAGGAAAAAGTAATAAAATGCACCCGCATTCGTCTTTGGTTTTCCCTTGCGTAGGACATCGGGGATAATCACAATGCCCGAAAGCATGATCGTCACCGCAGCCGGTCGGACATGTGAAGCTTTCTGTTGAGGAATACAACACAAAAATATTGACCGAGATCGATCATCTATCGATTGTAGGAAACGTATCCGTCAAGTCATGTCGAAACTCTCGCCGTCGCTCAAGGCCCTCATCAACGCCTCCGGAGCCCGACCGCACCCCCTCCCCGCACCACCGGGCATCCGAGCCGTATATGAGCGACTGCGACGGGAGGCCGCGGCGAAGAAGGTGGGAAGCAGAGCCTGGCTGACGCTCTCGGTAGGTCCGCGAATTCCTCATGATATTGATATATTTCGATCTTTGGGTCCGTTCTTCTTGAATTCTTGTCTATACAGATATATCGAGCGAGTGAATGAAGTCGTGGTTCTAATGCGAACCACCTATTCTTGAAAAGTAGACAGCGGCCACGGTGACCATGAACTCGCCCGCATCGCTCACCATCCTGTTCCACCTGGCCACGGACCACGCGCAGGATCAGCCGCAATCCGTGGAGACGGCCGAGCTGATGAGAGAAGTGGCCTTGAAATGCATCGGCTTCAACGGGGTACGGTTGGATCTCCCTTCGGGGCCCTCAGGGGCAAGCAGTATTATATATATATATATATATATACAATGCAAGTAATAATCAATGGCATCACAGATCCCCCGGACCATCAACTGTCTCGGGGCCTTCAGATCCAGCTTACCGGTCGAGATTATATCCTCATTATCCACGAAGCCGACACGGTCAGCCCCCCTTTCCTTCACTTCGCTTTCCTTCCCTGCTGCCGGTCAACTTCGCCCGTATAGAGGGGACCAGAAAAGAAACACCGATAGACAAACACACCAAAAAAAAAACCTATCTACCGACGGAGTTATAGCCAGACCGAAAGATAACTGACATCTCAACACATCACCAGAACCGCCTCGCAATCCAACATCCACGCCATCATCGCCCGCGGCCACGCCCTCTGGACCTCCATCTACCGCCCCTTCGATGCCACGCTCGCAGCCAAGCTCGCCGACTCGCACCCCGACCTCCCCGTCTTCATCCTCCAGCACGCATACGGCCCGCTGTTCGCCGACCCACCCACGCATCGCGACGGGCCTCCCGGGTCTGCCGGCGCGAGAGTCGGACGAGTGCTGACGAGTCTCGTCGCCGTTGCGTGCCTGAGGGCGCAGACGGGCGTCGGGCCGCAGGTCACGAGCCACGTGTTCGGGCTGCGGAAGGCCTTTACGGATGGGAGTGGCGAGGCCGAGGGCGAGGGGGTGGTGGAGGGCGGGAGGTGGCTGGCGACGGACGAGGGGAGTGTGTGGTTGCTGGAGGCCGTCGATGCCGTCGTGGAGGCTCTGGGGGAGGGGAGGGGCAGTAGCTTCGCGTGGGGAATGGAAAAGTCGAAGCTGTAGATGAGCAGGGCTAATGGTTAACTATGTACAGGTCGGATCGGGTGGAGCATGTAGACATCTATGGTTTGGAGAAGGTCGCTTGCAAAGATGCCGTGTTGAACGTGCTTGATTTGGGAATCTTAACCATCGACAAAATTCTATCGCCCTCCAAATCTCCGGGCGACCCACGCGCCACCATATTCCTCGTACTCCTCTTTCGTGACGCTCAGATTTCGCAAAGCCTCTTCGTTCTTTGCGAGATTCGCACCTCCTTGCCACGTACTGGTGACCGGATCTGCAGGTTTCGCAACCCTCACGATGCACTCAGCCGGGGCCAACGCTCGAATCTCCGTCTGTAGTCTCGGGACGAAGCCATGGATATTGGAATTCCCGCCCACAACAAAGATGTTGGCCAAGAATCCAGGCCATAACCCCATCGGGATGCTGGACAAGCTGTCCATCACCTGCTGAGCAATACCGCTTTGTCGTAATCCAATATCAGAGGGGTTGAAGAGCAACTCTGGCACCGTGAATCGTTCATTCCTCAATGTCAAAACATCCTCAGATGCCCCTAAGGATTTTCCCTTCGTCAACTCCTTCAATTTCGTAGCAGCAGTCGGATCATGGTCCCGAACAAAGCCCGCTTTCTTGGCGTGATAATCTGGCAGGACATAATCCTTTGCGATCCCTTCCCCCGATTCAAATACAGGTCGCCTGTCCCCTTTCGGCCCTTTCCATGTTCGCTCCATATCCTTTCTGAAGTCATTCGATACGTAGAGCGTGGCCTCCTTGATTTCGTTGACCAGGTAGGTCTCCTCTTTCATATCGTACTGCCTGACGTTGATCAGCCTGGTCAGGTAGTTTGTGAGCAGCTTCCCTCCAACCTCAAGGCGCCGGACAGACTTTTGTAGAGGCCGCCCAAGGAGAAGGGGAGTGATAGTCGTGTGCGAGTAGGAAGAGTCGATGAGCATAAGGATCTCGGCGGGTGGGGTGGATACGATCTCTGCGGCTGGCGCTGGTGCTTTGAAGGAGGATTGGATATCATTGTACGCGTTCAGAGTGGCACCTTGGAAATTAGTTGCAGGTATTTTCCACGCGGCGTGTAGGATTGGTAAATACCGTTCGTCCGTAGATATCTGGCAAACCCGAACTCTTCAAACACCATCTGGTCGCAATGTCCTTGCAGCACTGGCAGAGCATTTGGGGCCTCGGTAAGTATCAAGCCGGTTTCTTTGGGGTCACAGTGTAGCTTGGCCTTCGCATCGAAGAACTCATGCTCCCAGATCTCTTTCTCAGCCTCCCAGTTGACAATGTAGCCCTTCTCCATCGGCCGGCGAAACACGATATCGCCAAAGTCTTTGCAAGACGATAGCTGGGACCCGATATAAACATTCTTTTCTCGGTCTCGCGCGAGGCAATTCGGGATGATGCTGGGCGTAGACGCAGATGTCGAAGTTTCGGTCAATAGTGAAGATGGTGAAGAGAATCCTGCCTTGAGCGTGTACGAGCCATTATCAACAACAAGCGTTCTAGAGGGTGGAAGGGATCCAGATAATTTCGTGCGCCGAGAACCGGGAGCCATAAGTCAGGTAGGATAGAGTATTGTGAATATCCTGAATATCAAGTGATCGGATTCTGGTTTGTCGCGTTAAATAATAGACGACGCGGTTCGAAATAGGGCGGGCTCTTCTTTTTTTTTCCGCTTGGCTATTTACGTAGTGCTACCGGTACGTATATTGGTTCAGATAGTTTAACGACGTCACCTCGCTCAACTCTCGGAGTCGGGATTTAGCCTCTTGCCGTCGCCACTTCAACTTTTCAGCCTTGTCTCGGGAATCACTTTCGCAGCCATATACAACATCGGATTTACAGACAACCACAGAAACCTTCAACGATTGACGATTGACGATTGACGATTGACATTTCAGGTTTTTCTTTTTCAACCTGGAGCCGCTGTTTTTCAAAAGGCGCATATTCAACCAAGGCAAACTTGATCAAAGAGCACCCCGCCACCAGCTACCGCAGTGTACTGGAGCTTCCTAGACCCAATTCCTTTACCCCGGCGTCTCTTACTATCATCGCATCCGCACCCCTTCAAGCTGCGATCATGTCGACAGCTGAACCCTCACCAGCTCCAGCTGTTGGTGCAGGTCGAGGACGCCGTCGTGGGCTAAGACGAGGAGGACCTCGGGGTGGTGGTGGTGGTGGTGCGAGCGGGAATACAACTCCAAACTCCTCATTGGCACTTCGTCCTGCTTCGGTAGCACTCGAAGCACAAGCATCGGTACAATCACAGTCACATACCCAGAGAACGCAGGGCAGAGCGAGTGGCAGAAGAGGTGGATACAGAGGAAGAGGGAGAGGCGCTGCTCAGCTAATGGTCAATGGACAGCGAGCATTTGGCGGGCAGCTTACTGCGGCAACATCCAACGAAGGATCGCTGGCTGGCGATGCCCCTGAATTCGTCCCTGGTCAGCCCGTCGCCTCTCGAGTCCGGCAGCAACAACCTCGAATTCTCCCGAAACGTCGAATGTCCAAGTCACAAGCTCCCGACATCGCCACAAGAACGCACGAGGATATTACAAACGGGCAGTACGAATGTGTGATCTGTACTAACGAAGTTCTGCCAAATTCAAAAGTCTGGAGTTGCAGGACCTGCTGGTCGGTCTTGCATTTGTCCTGTGTGAAGAGATGGTCCAAGAACGAGGTTTCGACACACCAACAGCGAGCTGTGGAGAACGGGGAACTGCCACCCCCGAGGCAATGGCGATGTCCTGGATGCAATCTGCCCAAGCTAGATCTGCCGAACAATTATTCTTGCTGGTGTGAAAAGGAGATTGAACCTCGCTCCATTGCTGGATTGCCGCCACATTCTTGCGGGCAATCGTGCTCGAGGCGGAGGGCGGGCAGTTGTCCACATCCATGTGAGCTTATATGCCATGCTGGCCCTTGTCCATCTTGTGGACATATGGGACCTCCAACGTCTTGTTTTTGTGGGAAGGAGACGAGTTCGAGACGATGTGTAGATACGAATTATCAGAGCGGCTGGGCATGTGGTCAAGTCTGTGGAGAGGATTTATCTTGCGGGGAGCATACCTGTCAGAAGGAATGTCACGAGGGGCTATGTGGAAGCTGTGATGTGGAAGTCGAGTCGCGCTGCTACTGTGGGCGGACGGAAAGAATTCTACGATGTTTTGAGCGGGACGACGAGATGGAGAGTCAATTGAGCCAGGAGAGCTGGATCGGATCATTCAACTGCGGAACCGAGTGTCGACGACCATTCGATTGTGGAAACCCCAGGCATTTCTGTAAACAGCCCTGCCACGTTCTGGATCCGGTATCGCCTCATTGTCCACTTTCCCCGGATGTTGTTACGCACTGTTCATGTGGAAAGACGCCAATCGATGTGCTCCTTCTTGAGCCTCGAGTAGACTGCTCGGCCCCGGTACCACATTGTAAAGAGAAGTGCCAGAAGCTACTTGCCTGCGGTCACGTATGCGAAGAGCTGTGTCACGGTGGGGTTTGCAAGCCATGCCTCCAAACGATTGAGATTACCTGCCGATGTGGCCGAACGATATCGAAGTCTGTTTGTCAACAGGGATCGGAAGAACTACCTCAGTGCCCACGGGTCTGTCGGACCAATCTGAATTGCGGTCGTCACGAATGTGGTGACCGTTGCTGTCCTGGAGAGAAGAAGGCCGGTGAGAGACAGGCCTCGAAGCGCAAACATCGGGCACTCAATGCAGCGCCGGTCAATGGCGAGGAATTCGAGCCTGAGCATATTTGCTTGAAAGTGTGCGGTCGACGATTGAAGTGCCTCAATCATACTTGCGCTTCTTTGTGCCATAAAGGACCTTGCGGTAGCTGTCTAGAAGCTGTTTTCGAGGATATCAGCTGTGCTTGTGGGAAGACGGTTCTTCAACCTCCTCAGCCATGCGGTACACAGCCTCCGGAATGCCGATTCGATTGCACCCGTCAACGAACTTGCGGCCACCCTCAAATCAAGCATCAGTGCCACGAAGATGGAGAAGAGTGTCCGAAATGTCCATTCTTGGTAGAGAAGTCTTGCATCTGTGGCAAGAAGACGCTGAAAAACCAGCCATGTTGGTTCAGTGAGGTGAGATGTGGATTACCTTGCAACAAGAAGCTCAGGTGTGGAAACCACTTCTGCCAGTACATGTGCCATCGGGCGGGACAGTGCGAGGATGCCATGTCACACTGTAAGCAAGCGTGCGGTCGTAAGAAGACAGTATGCGAGCATACTTGCCTGGATCCATGCCACGCTCCATACCCTTGCAAGGAAAACTCGCCCTGTCAAGCGAAGACTTTCATGACCTGTGAATGCCAGAATCAAAAGCAGGCAATCAAGTGCCTGGCTTCGAAGACCTCTGCCGGTAACTCAGAGAAAACGTTAGAGTGTAACGACGAATGTCTGAAGGTTCAACGAAACGCCAAGCTTGCTGCAGCTCTCAACATTGACCCTGCCAGCCACGCTTCCGACCACATCCCATACTCTGCTACGACACTTGCCTTCTTTGCGGACCACCAGAAGTTCGGGCAGCAGTATGAGCGGGAGTTCCGGGTATTTGCGGCGGATGAGAAAGAGAAGCGGTTGCGGTTCAAGCCGATGCAAGCTTTCCAACGCGCTTTCATCCACGCGCTCGCTGAAGATTTCGGGCTCGATAGCGAGAGTCAGGATCCCGAGCCTCGTCGCCATGTCTGTATCTTCAAGACGCCGAAGTTTGTTTCGGCTCCAGCCAAGACACTTGGACAGTGTGTAAAGGTTCGAGCTACTCCAGTCGTTGAAGCAAGCTCTTCCAAGACACTCGTCTCGAATGCAGAGCCATGGAACGCATTCCTGCTTACGAACCCCAAGTTTGGAATCACGATGGAAGAATTGTATGCGGACCTCAAGCCCGATTTCGCCCAGGCGGGAATCGACTTTGAGGTATCCTTCCTCCCATCTGGGGACGTGGTCCTCAAGTCTTTGGCGACTGGCCAGCGGCTGGTCAAGATGGACAAGGAACTGGCCGCCTTGAAGGGGCCTGTCGGCAAGAGGATCTCTTCCTTGCGTCTTGCCTCTTCGACTTCGCTCTGTGCTGTAGATGGCAGTCTGAATATCCTGAGACAAGAAGATCAGAATTCCTCGAGTGGTGGGTGGAGTCAGGTTGCCAAGGGCGGACCTGCGAGTAGGGGTCTACCGATTCCCAGCGTGGGTGCGAAGAGCAGCTTCATGGTGCTTGGGAGGATCAAGAAGGAAAACGACAAGAAGAAGGTTGTCGAGGAGACGGTGGAGGATTGGGAGATGGAGGCTGATGCCGCCTGAAGAGGGCCAGCAGTTCGTGAAAGGATGTGACTAATGTAAATAAAGGGTGAGAAGAGCTGAAATCAAAAAGTAAGGGGGCATGGCTCTCGATGTGGACGGCACCTTCCAAAACCCAGAACTCGCTTGACTTGTTGATTTCCCGTGTTTGCTCAACTCCCCTTCCCGTACCCCGTACGCTCTGTTTGAATCCGCGCTGGGCAAGCATTGCATGGCGGGTCCGGACAGCGGCGACAAGTGGCCGATGAGCAGGAATTGATGACCCAGAACTGCCAAGTATCAGAATCTGTAGCTTCGATCAGCCAAAATAAATAGCTTTAGCGCCTATTTGCATTGCTAGCACATTTTGACATGCTCAACTGTATGTGCTTATATCTAAAACAGATTATATAAATTGCAAACTCGCTTATACTTATTGGAGATTCTTTGATACGCGTCTTAACTTCTCAATAAGGCTAGCACTGAAATATTCGCTTGAACTTCAGTGGTGGGGAAGGGGCCGTGTTGTGTGGAGAGGATGATATTTCTAAGTTCTCTTTAGTAAGAGAAGTCTATGTACTTCTTTTAGCGTGCACGTGCTTTTAACAAGCCTGACAGCTTTAAGCTATCACATGACCTTATCTTACGAGGTTCTCGACCCGAGGACCTTCCTTTTTAACTAAGTGCTTAATGCTTATTATTCTTTTCAAAAGAATTCTAAACTCCGTTAAGGTATCGTTGCTTAACTCTTATAATTCTTTTCTTCACTCGCTTTTTAGTTTCTTTTGCGCTAATATTAATATTCTTTAATAATTTTATTAAAATCTTTAAACTTTATCTTTCTTTTATCTCTTTACTTTTTTTAATATCTTGCGATCGTTTTAATTAACTTTTCTTTCTCTTTTCTCTTCTTTTTAAGCTCCGATAGCAGCGAGTGTTCCGAAGTCTTAGCTTTTAGATTCTAATACGTTAGCAGTCTTTCTTCTTTTTTTGTTATCAAATAAAAAGTCCGTAAGTAGAACGGCTTAAGTTAGTTTATATAAAAGTGTCGTAGTATCGCTTTCTTATTGATCTGTTTTAAAGTATAAGATCTTTTATATTCACTTCTTAAGCTTAACACTTTAAATAAGCTTTTTTAAGATAGTTTAAGTTTCTGTCTAGCTGTTTTCTAGTCGTACAGCATTACAAGAGATCTTGATAGCAAGCTCTTGACTTTTTAAAAGAATGGTTTTTTCTTTTTAAAGCTCTTTCGAACGTTCTGCTTAATAACCTCGTGCTCCGCGATATGTTTTAAAACGGCGTTCTTTTAATCTTTTGTTTTTATAAATGTTGGATCGCCGGTAGCGATCTCTCGTAATATATTCGTAAAAGTCGTAACGTCGTCAAAGTACTTGCAATTGCAAAACACTCGGTAGTAAAATACTCAATTGTTGCTTGTTCTTCTGGTTTATTTGCTCTAAGAAAGCTGACTCCTTCTATACAATAGGAAGGAGTCACGTGTACTAGCTAAATACTAGGTTTACAAGCAGGTTAAGGGGGGTCTCCGGACCTGTGACAAGCTAAGCGAGGCATGCTTAGTGGCCCGTGAACCTTGGTTCACGAGTGAGCTCCCCCCAACTACTATTTACTAGCTAAGGTCGATATAAATATACTGACACCGGCAAAACTTTCTTTAGCAAACAGTGCTTTGCCAACTATTATATCGACCGAAAAGAAAGAAAGTAGTAATAAAAAAAATTCAAACGCAAAGAACAAAGAAAATCCTTCTTGAAACAAGCCCCTTCCCCTTCCAAACTCGTCACTTTGCGAAGTGCTCACAATGCTCTCCTCCGTATTGGCAGCCTTGAATAAAGCATTCGTACTCGTCCTCAAAGTCGTCGGAATCATCCTTGCTTGAGGTGTGCTGAGAGGAGTGCTGAAAGGAGTGCTGAGCAAATGGCTCGCTAAAGCTCGCGTAAGCTCTGCTTGCTTTGGCGGGAGGTCGTAAGCTCTTATTCTCAGGAAAAGGTTGAATGATCTTAGTTGCAAAAGCAATTGCTCGGCGAATGTCAGCAATTGCGGCGGTAGAGGTGATTGCGAGGTTCATCCGTGCAATCGTCGTCTTTAATACGTTTTTATAAGCTGAATACAGCTTGTCGGCGAGACTCTTATCGTCTCTTAAACCTGGTCGTAGTGAGCCTTGAATGCCCTTGAGCTCTTTAGCGAGCTTTTCAAAGCACTCGCTAAGCGAGGTCCTTGGATTTTCTTTTCTGACTAAATCTAGCGAAATTTCCTTTTAGCGGTCGTATTTTGCTTGCCGCCGTTAGTCAGTTTCAAAATGGTCTCTTATTGCAATAGCGTTTGCTTTAAAAGTAAGTAGCTTGGCCTTGATTACGTAGTTGTAATAGAAGCTAATAGCTTCTTTCGTAAGCATAATAAGGAACGCCGCTAAGTAGTCGTTTGATGTCAAACCGTATCGAATTGCTTAGTTAGCAAAAATCTTTAATTGGGTTCGAAAATCATCGTCGGGTCCCGAATACTTTAGCTTCTTAAGAAAGCTTCGCGCGAACAAGGCCAATTCCTTTGCTCTTGGGTAAAGGTCCGTCGTTCCGAGCTTAGGAAAATCGTCGTCGTCAAGGTCGCTTAGGGTGCCGTACGTAAAGGGTCGGTTTGGCTCGGGTCCGTCAAGGGGTCCGTATCCTCGTTTAAGGTCCCTTAGCGGCTCATTTCCTTGTCCCTTTGTCGGGCCACCGTGTCCTCCTCCTCTTCCTTCGTGCTTATTCCCTTCGCTTCTCCTTTTATTCCTTTTTTCTGGATTACCGTCCGAGCCGTCAAGGTCGTTAAGGTTGCTAGCAAGAGCTTGCTCGTATCTTTGGGCTCGGTCTTAGCGGTATCCATTGCCTTAGTCTTGCTGCGAACTAAATCGAAGATCCTTACGTTGTCTTTAGTGAGAGTAAAATTTGCCCGGAATCTTCTTAACTTTAAGAGGCTCGTCGTTGTACTTTCTTGCGGATCCTTTCGGTGACAAAATCGGTAGCTGAAGTAGTAAAGGAACGGGAGAAGGAAGTGAGTCGCGGGAACTTCGCTTTGATGATTGCTTTGCTGCTTTGAGCTCTTCTTTGTGCTTTATAGCCTCCTCGATGCTCTTCTTACGCTTTTGCGCGTCTTTCGTAATTGTCAGGTTTCGGAGGTCGTTAAGGTCTCGCGCAATTGCCTTTTTTTAGCGTCGAAGCTCTTCGTACTTTTCGCGGAGTGATTAGCGAAGCGAATTTATAATTAGAGGTAGAGGTGAAGGTAGAGCTTCGTCGATGATTTTAGTAAGACGAATAAGGCCTGATTGATTAAGAAACCTTTCGACCTGCTTCCTTTGAATTTTCGCGACTTCTTTAGTTTGTCGATTTAAGCGGGCGATTATAATATCGTTTCACTTAGAATCAAATCCTTCGATTGATTGCTTTCGCTGTTCTTTCTAAGTCTATTAGTGCTCCTTCTCCATTTAGATGATTAAGGCTAGTCTATTAGCGTAGCCTCTTTGCCTTAAGAGGCACCAAACTCCCTTAGATATTAAGTGATCCTTTAGTTTAATAAGCAATGTGAACTTGTTTCTTCGGCCGTGTGCTTGTCTAGCGGCCAACGAGAACTCGTCCGCGGTCCATTTAATAAACGCGTGTCGGAACAAAGACCAAAGCTCGTGGTCTCTTAAACCCTTACTCTTTATATCTAAGAAGTCCTTGATAATTAACTTTGCTTTTATATGATTCTTTGGCCTTGGATACGGTAGTGAATCGAAGTCAAAACCGAGGTCCGACGTATCTTCGTCTAGTTCTTCGAAGGTATTTTGAGTGCTTGGATTAAGAGGTTGTGCCGGCGATCTAAAAGGAAGGTCCGCACGCGTCGTAGAGATTCGAGGTGTCTGAATCTTTGTTGTTTGAGCTCTTGCTAACGTTCTAGAAGCTCTTTGTCTGCTACTCTCTCCGCCTTAAGGATCGATTGATTGCATGTTGCCGGGCGTCGAGGCGTAGTATTGTATGCTGTGTGTAGCTGGCGTGGCTCTACAGCGTTGATAGGTTGTATTGCTGTGTATAGCTAGCGTGGTTCTATAGCGTTGATAAGTTGTATATAAGTGACTTGATTCGGAATCACTCTTCCGTAGAAATGAAGGTAAAGCGGTGGTATAAGAAAGCGACTTGGTACGGAATCGCTCTTCCGTTGTAAGGGAAAGGTATTCGAAGTGTTTGAATAATGATTTTCATTGCGGTTGCAAGCTTCTTATAGCGCAAACTCACCACTTTTACACTCTTCGAGTAAGTAGAAGTAAAGTCCCAACTCTTCGATCGATCCTAGCTTCTCTGTGATTGAGTAACGCTTTAGCGATTAAACAATCACTGATCAGTGTTAGATCGCCGGTAGCGATCTCTCGTAATATATTCGTAAAAGTCGTAACGTCGTCAAAGTACTTGCAATTGCAAAACACTCGGTAGTAAAATACTCAATTGTTGCTTGTTCTTCTGGTTTATTTGCTCTAAGAAAGCTGACTCCTTCTATACAATAGGAAGGAGTCACGTGTACTAGCTAAATACTAGGTTTACAAGCAGGTTAAGGGGGGTCCCCGGACCTGTGACAAGCTAAGCGAGGCATGCTTAGTGGCCCGTGAACCTTGGTTCACGAGTGAGCTCCCCCCAACTACTATTTACTAGCTAAGGTCGATATAAATATACCGACAATAAAGTCTGCTCTTTATAATTCGTTTAAAAACCTTTTATCCGAGAGTGTTTCGTAGATGATCTTCGCATAATACGCTAGAAAAGCTAAGTTTATTGCTGCTTTAAAGGTGTGTCTTCGATAGATCTTAAATAATAAGTACTTTAAGTAAAAGATCTCTTTCGCGTTCGTCTCGAACATCATTTCTTTAAACTTGTCTTCGAATGCTTTTTTAGTTTTCGCTATCGCTTTTTGTATTATATCGACCGCTTTCTCTGCTATGCTTATTGATTTTTTCGATGCTAATAAAGAATTAGTTTATAAGACTCTTCTCTTGCTTATAAAATTCCGAACTGTATCGCTAAAATGGCTATCGAAGTCGATATAGAATCCGATTAGCGTTTTATCTTAATCGAATAGTTTTATAAAATAGCGTATAACGTTTTTTAAATCGAATGCGATACAAAAGAACGCTTAAATGAATCTCGAAAAGTAGTTTATAATAATTAAAAAGAACCGAAATGTTTTTAATACTCTTAAGAAAAGTCCGTAAAAGTCTGCTTTAAAAAGTTCTATCGGTCTCGAGACTATTACGTTAAATAATAGTTAAGATCTCATAGCGGTACTATGCTTCGCGCAGTTTAAACATCTTAAGATATACAAGTATACGTCTCTAATTATAATAAGCTATTATACGTTTCTTAACTTCTTTATAGTGATAGTGATAGCGAAGTGACTTCTTTAGTTATAAGCCGTCCGAAGCGCTTTCTTAATATCTTTAAGCGTTAAACATATTCTTTATACTTCTTTTTAATAGTATTATAATGTTTTTTTTTTTACTTATAAAAGCTCGCTTTCGTTTGCAGTCTCTTTTGCTTAACTTTGTCCGAGTTTATAAAGAAGATGCCGTAAGCAATTAAGTTGAAAATATCTATGTACTACGAGCATTATTAATAAGCTTGTTGGATTGCTTTTAAGCGATTGGGAATATATATTCGTAAAGTCGTAACGGTCGTCAAAGTACTTGCAATTGCAAAACACTCGGTTGATAAGGTATCTGAATTCTAACTGCTTTTTAATGTTTAAGGGAGCTGATTCCTTCTATATGATTAGAAAGAATCACGTGCATTAGCTAACTAATAAGCTTACTTGTCAAGTTGAGGGTCCCTTAACTGTTAACATGCTAAGCGAGGCATGCTAAGTGGCCCGTGAATTATAGTTTACGAGTGACCTTCTCCAACTACTATTACTACTACTATTAGCTAGCTAAGGTCGATATAAAGATACCGACATCGGCAACTCTTTCTTTAGCAAGCAGTGCCTTGCTAATTACTATATCGATTGAAAAAGGAAAAAGGTAATCAAACAAAGGAAAATTCAATTTCACTTTACTAAACCTCACTCTCCTTTCTCTTACAGCGGCTTTTCTACTTATCCGTCTACTTGCACTTTCAAGGTATTAGTCAAAACTAGCTCTTGTAAAGAGGTATTAGCTTCGACTTTAATCATGGCGTCAGCAAAGTTAGATTTTCTTCCGATCTAGCGTACCTTAAAGAGCTCCCGCTTCTCGTATGACTCTCGAATAGCTATAATATCGATTATAAGGCGCTTTTCTTTAATAGTTCCCAGCTTTACTATACACTCGTAAAGCGAGTAAAAATTAGTGCATATAACTATAAGAAAATTAAAGATCTTTAGCTGAGCTGTGATTTAAGCAAAAGTAATCGATATAGCAATAGTTATATCGATACTTAAAGACATAGCGTATAGCTTAAAGGCTAACACTGCCTTTGTCACTTTCTTGCACTTTTGTGACACTTAATAAAAGATGTTATCCGTTAGAGTGAACTCGTTCTTATTTACGTAAGCCTTATTACTAAAGATAGCTACGAAACCGATCTAAGAGCTAAAGTTAGCGTTGTTAATAAACGCTCCGTTTACGAACACAAAGAGCTTCGCAGTCTTTAAGTTTAAAAGCACGTAATAGATCCTTCGTATTAAGTGATCGATCAGCTATTAGATTACTTTATTAAAAGCTTTATAGTCTTCGTCTTTCGGTTCTTAATGCTAAGCAACTATCGATAAAGCATAAGATGCTTTTAAGTAATAGATAGTAACTAAATACGCCCTTCGAGCACGTTGCTTTAAGTACTCTTTAGCTCGTATAGCTGAATCGAGCTTGATTACGGCAAGCCTTTTACCTTGCCTTTTTTGCTTAATTAATAGTCCGAACCCGTCCTTATTTAAAGATAGCTTATATCTATTGAAAATCATCGGCTCGGCGTATATAAAAGTCTTTATTTCTTTGCTTTTTAGCTTAAATTTGATTAGCTTCTTCTTTTCCTTTGCTTTTATAGCTAGATTGACAACTATAAAAACATCATCCGTTTATAAAGCAGCTATTCTTAATTGATCTTTATTAATTGATATAAAAAAGCAAGAATTAAAGCTCGATTGCTTTATCTCGAGGTTGTTCGTAAAATGCTTTGAAAAACGCTTATATTAATACGTTCTTGCTTCGAGGATGCTATATAAAAGGCTAGTCATAAAGAACAAAGTACCGGAGAAGAATCGATAAGTGATCTCTTTAAGTAGTCGTACGACGATTATTCGTATAAGCTTCGTGCTTGATTAAGTATAAATTTAAGTGATATCTCTATTATAGACTTAACACCCGTAGTCCTTTATTAGCGAAAGAGCTAAAGCATAATAAAGTCTTTAGCCCGCTCGCTATATCGTAAAAGACTCGGTAAGTACTTTCGTCTTGCTTTTATCTTAAAAGGCTTAGACTATTATACGAGACTTCTCGTATAGCGTAAGTGTTCCTTTGCTTTTGATCTTATTAATAAACTTAAATCCGAAGATCTTAGCGCTTTTAGCGCGTGAGTCGATGCTCGGGATCACTTAAAAGATGCTTTAAGCTATTAATCCAGCTAATTCCTTTGCTTTAAACTTTTAAAATAATGCTTTAAAGCTTTTAATAATTCTTTCGGCTCGTAGCTTAGCTAAGAGCTTATAGTCTTAGCGTTCTTTATCGGTAATCAACACTTCGAAGTCTTTAGTAAATAAAACGTAAGAATCGCTCTTTTCTTCGTCGAGCACGGTCGGGATATTAAGATCGTACTTTTAATAAAGTATCTAGACTATTAATATTATTATAAACACCCTACCTGATAGGGTACCTACCATGGCCACTAAGGCCACACTAGACGGACCCATCTTCTATAAAAAGGCACACATCTCTTAGCTAGAACAATCAACGAGCTTTTTACTTATCTTTTCTAACACTTCTTTATAAGACTATAAAGTCTAGCCTTAAAGCTAAGCTTTTATACGGCATATCTTTTTAAGTGCTTCTATATTAATGACTTACGTAAAGATTTAAACCTTTAGTCTTTGTCTTTATACAGCTTATTACAATCGCTTGATTCGCAGTTAAGTTGATCTTCGTTTATTATTTAATATTTCACTCTACAACTACAACTTCAAAACAATTAAAATCTTATTTCCGATAGGTTCGGACACCGAAACGCCGAAATAGCTAAAGTGCAATATTTCGGCTCCTCGGCAAAAACTCTCTTCTATTGTTAATAAGAAAGAATTTTCACTTATTAATAAAAATACTTTTCTATATCTTAGCTCTTATCTTGAATTAAAGCAATTGATATAATCCGGAGTTATTAGCGAAGCTAATCAATTGATTCTTAAGTTTTTTATAATTTTAATCTTAACTATTAGTTTACTTTTGCAAAAAGTCTACTCTTTTTAATCTCGAATCGAAAATACCTTGCGAAAGTTACTTATTTAGCTCGTAAACTCGGTTCACGAGTTAAAATCAAACAATTCAAAAACCTTTTATCAACTCGATCATTCTTAGCACACACATATATCTAATCCTTAAAATACCGAAAACCTTCTTGAGATTTTTAACATCGAAGTCGGCGCCGAATCACTTCTTTTTTCGTCAGAATCTTTTGAATTTATTAAATCTTTAAGTCGTATTCTTATAAGCTTCGGACTAGCCTTATCTTACTTCGACCTTTAACCAAAACCCTTACCTTTACTTTTATTAAAAACACTTGCTTCGGAAATGCTTTTTAAAATCAATACCGATCTTAAGATTTATATCACTCTTCTTCTTTTTACTCTTCCTACTTTTTTACTAAGCCTTGCGCTAGTTATAGTCGACCTTGCTATCCTTTACGCTTTTATGACTACTCGCATGCTATTGCTAAGTGCTTTAAGAGCTCTTTGCTTTAATAATATTAATATCACCGACTTCATCGAGAAATACGAAGAGACTTATAAAGACTTTAGTATCTTTTAAGACGATCGGTTTATTAAGCTCTTTCGTTACTGCGATAACTTTCGCAAAGAGGTTATTAAGAGCTTGCTCGAGTGAAAAGCTAAAAAAGATTAGATTACTTTCGTTAAAGCTTTAAAAGCCGAGTTTCGTGAAAACGATACTTAGCAGATTAAAGACTCGGTCGCTTTCTTACGAGAATTTGCTATGCAAGAACGGGATATTAATAACTTGAAAAACTATTATCGCACTTTCTTTCGAGTCTTCGAAAGATTTACTTTAATGCACTTCTTAAGCAAGACCGAACAAAGCCGCTTATTCTTTCTCGGATTGCTCGTCGGAATCCGAAATAAAACGATTAAGCATTATAAAGTCGACTGTTGGATTGCTTCTAAGCGATTGGGAATATATATTCGTAAGGTCGTAACGGTCGTCAAAGTACTTGCAATTGCAAAACACTCGGTTGATAAGGTATCTGAATTCTGTCTGCTCCTTAATGCTTAAAGGAGCTGATTCCTTTTATATGATTAGAGGGAATCACGTGCACTAGCTAACTAATAGGCTTACTTGTTAAGTTAAGGGTCCCTTGACTGCTGACATGCTAAGCGAGGCATGCTAAGTGACCCGTGAACTATAGTTTACGGGTGAGCTCCCTCAACTACTACTACTAGCTAAATAAGGTCGATATAGAGATACCGACACCGGCAACTCTCTTTTTGGCAAGCAATGCTTTGCTAACTATTATATCGACCGAAAAAAGAAGGAAGGTAATCAAACAAAAGTAATTAAACAAAAGTAACCTTAAAAAAAACAATCTCTTCTTTCTTTTTCTTATAGCGGCCTTTCTACTTATCCATCTACTTGCACTTTTAAGGTATTGGTTAAAACTAGCTCTTGCAAAGAAGTATTAGCGCCGATTTTGATCATGGCGTTAGTAGGGTTAGATTTGCTTCCGATCTAGCGTACTTTAAAAAGCTCCCGCCTTTCGTATGACTCTCGAATAGCTATAATATCGATTATGAGGCGCTTCTTTTTGGTAGTCCCTAGCTTTACTATACATTCGTAAAGCGAGTAAGAGTCAGTGCATATAACTACGAAGAAATTAGAGATCTTTAGCTAAGCTGTGATTTAAGCAAAAGTAGTCGATATAATAATAGCTATATTAATACTTAAAGACATAGCGTATAGCTTAAAGGCTAGTATTGCCCTTATCACCCTCTTGCACTTCTATAACACTTAATAGAAGATGTTACTCGTCAGAGTGAACTCGTTCTTACTTACGTAAGCTTCATTGCTAAAAATAGCTACGAAACCGATCTAAGAGCTAAGGTCAGCGTTATTAGCAAACGCTTCGTTTACGAATACAAAGAGCTTCGCAGTTCTTAAGTCTAAAAGCACGTAATAAATCTTTCGAGTTAAGTGATCGATCAGCTATTAGATCACTTTATTAAAAGCCTTATAGTCTTCGTCTTTCGGTTCTTAGTGCTAAGCAGCCATCGATAAAGCATACGATGCTTTTAAGTAGCAAATGGTAGCTAAATACGCCTTTCGAGTACGTTGCTTTAAGTACTTTTTAGCTCGTATAATTGAATCGAGCTTGATCACGGCAAACCTTTTACTTTGCCTTTTTTAACTAACTGATACTCCGAACTTATCTTTATCTAAAGATAGCTTGCATTTATTGAAAATCATCGGTTCGGCGTGTGTAAGGATCTTTATTTCTTTGCTTTTTAGCTTAGATTTGACTAGCTCTTTCTTTTCCTTTGCTTTTATAGCTCGATTAACAACTATAAGAACATCGTCCGTTTGCAAAGCAGCTATTCTTAATTAATCTTTATTAGTTGATATAAAGAAGCAAGAGTTAAAGCTCGATTGCTTTATACCGAGGTTGTTTGTAAAGTGCTCGGAAAAACGCTTATATTAATGCGTCTTTGCTTTAAAGATCTTGTATAAAAGGCTAGTCATAAGGAACAAAGTGCCGAAAAAGAATCGATAAGTAATCTTTTTAAGTGGTCGCACGACGATTATTCGTATGAGCTTCGTGCTTAACTAAGTATAAGCTTAAGTGATGTCTTTGCTATAGACTTAATACTCGTAGTCTTTTATTAGCGAAAGTGCTAGAGCATAATAAAGTCTTTGGCCCGCTTGTTGTACCGTAAAAGATTCGGTGAGTACTTTCGTTTTGCTTTTATTTTAAAAAGCTTAGACTATTATACGAGACTTCTCTTATAGCGTAAGTATTCCTTTGCTTTTAATCTCGTTAATAAACTTAGACTCGAAGATCTTAGCGCTTTTAGTTCGTAGGTTAGTGCTCGAGATTACTTAAAAGATGCTTTAAGCTATTAATCTTGCTAATTCTTTTACTTTCGACTCTTAGAACGGTGCTTCGAAGCTCTTGATGATTCTTTCGGCTCGTAGCTTAGCTAAGAGCTTATAGTCTCGGCGTTTTTTATCGGTAACAAACACTTCGGAGTCTTTAGTAAATAAAACGTAAGAATCGCTTTCTTTTTCGTCGAGCACGGTCGGGATATTAAGATCGTACTTTTAGTAAAGTATTTAGACTATTAGTATTGTTGATCTTTAAGAATTGATAAGTTAAGGGTTGAAAGAGCTGTTTGCTGATCTTAGCGACCTCGGTAGATTAAGCGAATGTTGAGGTTTAAGCGACTTTCGCGGTTTTAGCTCTTTTTCGCTTTCGCTTTTATCTTTTTCTTTTTCCGCTTTTACTTTAAGTACTTGCAACTCTTCTGGCAGCTTTTCAACTTTAAAGTAGTAAGGTTTTATTAAGGTTGACTTGAATTCCGTAAGTCTCGGATATGTTATTGTGCACGTGTGCTCTTGCTTGCTAAGCAACTGAAAAGGGCCTTTCTACCTTTGGTTTTCTCGCTATACGAGTATTCGTAAGCTAATAAAGAGGTTTAAGGTATGCTTTGTAATTAGGTTATTCTTCCTTTTAAGCGCGTCCTTAACTTGCTTCGCGGCGTAGCATTTTCGTACTTCTTTTATAGCTTTGTTGATAGCAGCAGCACGCTTTTAAGTAAACGCGGCAAGTCGATTTTGTTCCGTTAGCTTTAGTAAGGTCTTAAAAACGAGGAGTATAAGAACTAAGCTATTAAGTCTAGCTGTGTCGTTGATGGCTTTTATAGCTATTTGAAGCCGGTCCTCTTTTAGGGCTTTTAAAAGCTCTTTTGTGACGATCTTAAAAGCGCGTCGCACAAAGACGTGGTAGCGTTTTACTAGCCCGACGCTATAATAAGCTTTTATAAGCATTTGCTTTAAAGTGCTGCTAATACTTTTAAAGTAGCTTCGAAACGTTGCTGAATTAAAGTTGGTTTCGGGATCGTGCACGACGTTTATAAGAGGTCCGACGTAAGTATTAACTTAATATCGACTGAATCTTTTAAGTAAGTGCTATGCGGATATGCTTTTAAGAAAGATAGCGGCTTGAAAATTAATAGAATCGCAAACGACGTGCAATACGTTCTTGCCGTTAAAGTGCATTACATCGACGTATACCGTGTTATTAAAGTTAGTATTATCTTTGAGTCTAATACTAAACCTTTTAAAAGAACGCTTAAAGACTTAATAATAATAGCAAAACTTTTAAATGTTGTAAAGCAAATCTCGTTTGAATTCGTGCTCGGCCTTTTTAAGAATAGCAGCAAATCGACTTGCTAAAAGGTGGCCAAAACGCTTGTAGATGGTCTTTAATTGCTTTTCCGTAAAGTAGCAGTAGACGGTCTCGCTTTCGGTATTATAATAAGTAGCAGCGCGTTCTTTACTTAATAGCATTTATACGTGTTTAAACATCTTTATTATTAGTATTTCCTTTTTCTTTTAGACTAGTACGTTCCGTAAGTTATTTAAGATCACTTTGTGCTTATTTATATTAGCTAATAAGAGTAGGAAAGGTACGTCGCTTTTTATAACGTGGAACTCCACTTGACCTAGAAGAGTATTTAGGGTAACTGCTTTAATAGAGGTGGCAAAGCCGATGCTGTATTTGACGGACTTCTTTTTTGCTCGGGATATATTCAATTAGACCTCGAAGTACTTCTTTTAAAGTGCTCGTAGCTAAGGCAAGCTAGCGGTAGAGAAATTGGCTGCTCCGCTATTAATCATAAGGCTTATAAATACGTTTTCAAAGTACTTAAAGGCTATATAGGTCTTTGCTTTGCTCGTAAGCACGTTTTGGGTCTCGATTTGGCTAGTAAGAGCGTAGAATGCCGTTTGAATCTTTAGTTGCTTGTATACTTCGTTAGCGTTAAAAGTGCCGTAAGTAGTCACAAAACCTTTTGATATATTAGCGTAGTTGCTCGATTCGAGCGGCTCGTTTAATAAGCTTGCGATAAACTAATCGAATTCTTCCGTAGATACAAATAGCAAACCTTCGATCGACGTTATATACTAAGAGAATTTACTCTTCGTCACTTTTTTTGCGTCCTTAAAGCTTTAGAACTTGGCTACGGAAGCCTTGCGCTCGTCGGGGGTGTGGTTGGTGCTTTAGCAACCTAGCTTCTTGCAAACAAAATACCTTTTCTTACCTTTAATAGCTTTAGCAGCTTTCTTACCTCCGAAGTATTGGCGGTCTTGAATAAAGCACTCGTATTTCTCGTTCAAATCGGAGTCAGCCTTTAAAGTGTTGTGAAAGCAAGTGTGATCGTATAGCTCGCTAAAGCTCGCGTAAGCTCTAGCTTTGGCGGGAGGTCGGGAGGTCTTAGTTGCAAAGGCAATTGCTCGGCGAATATTAGCAACTGCCGCGGTAAAAGTAAAAGCAGGATTTATTCGTACAATCGTAATCTCTAGCACGTTTTTATAAGCTAAATACAGCTTATTAGCAAGACTTCGATCGTCTTTTAAACCTGGTCGTAAAAAGCTTTGAATGCTTTTGAGCTCTTTAGCGAGCTTTTTAAAGCACTCGTTAAGCGAGGTCCTTAGATTCTCTTTCTTAATTAAATCTAGCGAAATTTCTTTTTAGCGGTCGTATTTTGCTTGCCGCCGATAGTCAATCTCGAAGTGGTCTTTTACCGTAATAACGTTTGCTTTAAACGTAAGAAGCTTGGCCTTGATCATATGATTATAATAAAAGGTTATAGCCTCTTTCGTAAGCATAATTAAAAACGCTGTTAAATAGTCGTCGAATGTTAAGCCGTACCGATTTGCTTAGTTAGCGAAAATACTTAATTGAGTTTTGAAGTTATCGTCGGGTCTCGAATACTTTAATTCTTTAAGAAAGCTTCTTGCAAACAAAGCTAACTTTTTTGCTTTTAAGTAAGGGTCAGTTGCTCTTAGCTCAAGGAAATCGTTATTATTATCGTTAAAAGCGCTTAAAGTGCCGTACGCAAGCGTACCGTGCTTAGCTAGTGGTCGGATCGGTAAAGGGTTACCGATATAATTGCCGGTTATAGGTCTTACCTTTTTAAGGTCCTTAAGAAGTTTATTTCCGGATCCGGAGTCTTTTAAAGGTCCGTTTCCAAATCCTTTTAATAGTCTAAGAGGCCCGTTCTTACTCTTTCCGTATCCGTGTCTTCGATCTCTTTGCTAATCTCTTCCGTTTCTTCTTCGTCGGTCATCGTTAAGATCGTTAAAGCTATTCGGGTCACCGGCTAAAGCTTTAGCGTAGTGATATCCGTATCCTTGAGCTTGCTTTTAACGATTCTTATACCTTTAGTCTTTCTTTTGTTAATACGTAGCCTTTTAAAAGATATAGGTAGCTTGCCGGTACGTCCGAAGGTGCTAGATCCCTTTTTCGAGTTGCTAAGGTTAAGCACGGAAATCTGCACGCTGTCTTTAGTAAGAGCTGATTTTGTCCGGAATGCTCTTAGGTTTTAGCGGGTCTTCTTTTAGCGTATAGCTTTCGTAGCCTCGAGTATTGTCTGGTCCGCTAATGATCCCAGGACCCTTGTTGTTGTTGCTATTAAGCCTAGGCTTTTTAGAAAACTAGGTGTAGCTTTTGAGAAAAGGGTTTAAGGGCCGCTAAGGTGATTTTGGCTCTTGTATGATTAGCGTATTGCGTAGCGATTGATGAATTAAGAGCGTCGAGTACGCTAAAGTGCTTCGTCGTAGCCTTTCGTTAGATTGGATAGCGTAAGTCCGTAATTCCGCTATTTGCTTTATTATAGCTTTTATATTTTGCTTTATATCTTTTTTCTCTTTCGCAAACTCTTCGCGTAACCTCCGAATCTCTTCTTTTTTTTCTTTCTTGCTTAAGGTCTCTTTTTCCTTTCCTTTTAAACTGCGCGGAGGTAGAAGTGGTTAAGGTGTAATATCGTCGTCGTCGTCGTCCGTAAGGTTTTCGACGGTCCACTTTAAATCGAAGCTTAAGAGTGTTGCTTGTTGCTCTTTTATTTCTTAGAAGGTTTATTAGTGTTGCTGCTCGTCGTTTAAGAGCTTGACCATCCTATTAGCGTAGCCCTTTTGCTTTAAAGAGCATTATACGCCTTTAGATAGCAAGTGTTCCTTAAGGCTAATAAAAGTAGCAAATTTAAAGCTTCGTCCCGTATTGTCTTTCGTTATCGTAAAACTCGTTTAATCTTAGCGTAAGAAAGCGTGCCGGAATAAGCTTTATAAGTCGTAATCCTTTAGCCTTTTATACTTTGCGTTCAAGAAGTCCTTTACTATTGCTCGGGCCGTAATCTTATTATCGGGCTTTGCGTATAATAGCTCGTTTAAGTTAAATAAGATGCTCGACATTTCGTTATTTGGCCCTTCCGAGAGGCTTAAGAGTCTTAAGTATAAGATTTGTTTTGGCTGAATAGCTAAGGGTTCCGTAAGTAGTGATAAGACTCGAGAGGTATAATACTTTATTGCTTTTTGTCGGCTAGACTCCTTACTCGGAAGTCTAGTTGCTCGATCGGCTATAGTTGCTATCTGCTCGTACGTAGATCGATCTTGTTGGTTGGGTTTACTATATATAACAAGCGCGGCTCTTATAGCGTTGAAGGTTGTTGTTTTTAAAAATGACTTGGTTCGGAATCACTTTTCCGTAAGAATAAGAAAAAACGGTAGTATAAAAAGCGACTTAGTACGGAATCGCTCTTCCGTTGTAAAGGAGGAAGGTATCGTATTGAAAGGTATCCTCGCTATAGAGTCCTAGCTTCTTTGTGATTGATCACTTAGTAGTAAATTAACTACTAATTAGTGTGACAGCCTGCCTTGTTACCTGCAGTCAGCTGATCACCCATTCAGGCCTAGCGCCTGTGGCCATGTATATAGACCTTCCTGAGCTCCCCGAGCTTCCTGTTTCCTCTCTTCACTTTGTATTCTAAGGTCAGAATTCATCAGTTCGTCACATTATACAAAGTCCTTCGATTAAGTCGTCGTATTACAGCTTATTGTTATTGATTATTGCTTATTGTTACAGATTACGGCTTATTGATTATTGTCAAGAACGGAGTGAGTTACTTATTGGGTGCTCCACGGTCTTCATTTATTGCTTACAGATTATTGTCTCTTTTACGACCTCACCTCTTCCTCAGCTCTTCCGACCTAAAAGAGCTCACTCTTCTCAA